AAATATGTGCCAAAATACAACATGGCCACTGAAAAGTGTTTTACAAGAAATAGGCATTTCAGGCTGGAATATTACATACCTATGTTCAAGCCTGTGGAGGTCTCTTTGTTATTGTAGGTGGCAGCAGTATTTATTTTCAGCTTGCCTCAGCTTATTTTCTGTGGTGATGTAAATATTGAGGGGGTGGTCACTTAGGGAGGTTTTTGGATATTTGAGAAGTTGCTCAGTTTCCTTCTGTGAGCAGCCCCAGTCTGTGACAGGGAATCACTGTAAAGATTCCAAAATTACTTTTCAACTGCAATCCAGCCAATTATCTAAAAAAAGGCTGGTTTTAATATATACAGACAAATAACTTGTAACCATTGCTGCACGTGCAGTATTAAATTAAATTCTGGCCTTGGTTTTACTGAGTAAAGTCTGCAAGTCCAAAGGGACATTTTTGATAGGTGCCACTACACCAAAGAGGGGTTTAATTCCTGGTTCTTTGTGAGCAGCAGCGTTTGTGTGGATTTCTCTGACAAAATGTGGGTTTCTGGGTGGGCTCTGTGCTCTCCCTCACCCACTTCTGGCCCTGTTGGAGAGAGGAGCTGTGCAGGACCTGTGGGAGCTACGTGTTGCACATGCCTGAAGTTACCTAACAAATTCAGACTCGTGCCAGCAGCCAGAGCCCAAACCTTCCTGAAAAACAATTGGCCAATGTATGGTAAGTCATAGAAAAGAACCTTCACCTGGAGGTGAGCAAGCAATTTGTAATCTTGCTAACCTGCTGTCATGGGTTCCATGACAATGGGAAATTGGATTTTGGATTTCTAATGTGGCTCAAACTGCCACACCTGCCTTTATTTTGGAACACAAAGGCTGTCAGCAGCAGACTCACCAGGAGCTGGTTGAGCCAGGTAAGGGGGAATTCCTCTGCACAGAGCTTGGATGTGTTTTCCATATGGCCTCAAGCTCTGGAGTCTGTTCCTCCAGATAATGAAGCGATTCTCTCTGGGTGGCAGTGGGTGAGGCCCAGATCCTTGAGCATCAAAGAAACAAACCCAGAAAACAGCATTTAAGAAAACCAAGAAGGAGTTCAGAGCCTCTACACACATCTTTGGTAACGGGGAAGGGGCTTTTCATGGGCAATGCAGCTTTTGAGAGAACTTTGAGCGCGACTCAGCCCCGCTGAGAAGGTTCTCTTCACTTATTGGAGCCTTTTCTCAATCAATTGGCTTTTGCACCACTTTCCTCCCCCCCCCTACTGTGTCTCCTTGAGGTGGTGCAGGGAACCATCTCAAGCCAAACCCTCTAACTCATTGTAACAATGATGCAGGGGTTTTAAAATCCACCTTGCAATGTAGACCTAGAAAAAAAAAGGCAAAACAGTTTTTTGTTGCAAACAATTTTCAGTGCATGAAAGAGAAGTGGATTGCCAAAAGAAGCACTGGTTAAGAAAACCGTCTTGATACAGATCAAATAATCATGGACGAGGAAATACTGGTCCTTTCAGTTATATTGTTTAGGTAAATGTGTCATTGGGGCTCACGAGGGACTTTGGTGAAAGGTAAAAGGCCTCCTCCAAGTGTGTGATGTGTTCTCCTGCTTAAATATGACCCCAGTGTCAGGGTGGTTTGAGTTTTCATTGTGGTGCTCCTTGAAGTTTTTCTCATTGTTCTGATTTTTGGAAAAGATTAAAAGAGGTAAGGATTTAGCTTTGGGGATTCCCAGGAGTGTTCCACTCAATAAAGCAATAGCTCTAGTAGCCATGTTTTGGGAAATTGTTGCTCTTGGAGACCAGATTAAAGTGGAGAGAATTTCTGGCCTCAGAGGGAGGCTGGGAAGCTGTTAGTGCTGTTGTGTCAGACCTTACAATCCTTTATCCTGACCTGGTTTTCATGACCGTGCCAAGAGCTCCTGCGTGGCAAAGGTGGCAGTGACACTGATTGTATCAGGGACATCAGTTGCCTGACCAAGGCAGGGAACAAGGGATAATCAGTTATCCCCTGACAGCCTTGGAACATTAGTTACTTGAATTGTAGCCCGAGTGGAACGGAACCATTGTAACCAACTTGGGTTGTGGCCAGAGTGGAAATCTACCGGTGACTAAAGACAATCATGGCTCAGCCCTATAAGCATCAGTCCTAAGTGAGGCCTTGGAGCTGTCCTGGACTGCAGTGGGCTCCACAAGCACCTCCCTCAGACTGGGAGCCTCCTGGACTTGCAAACCCTCGAGTTTGCAATCCTCAGAGGACTGTGCCTGAAGACGAGGCCTGGGCTGATTTCCCCCACTCCTCGAGGCTCAGCCCTCACCTGTTGAGGAATGCAAAGGCATTTGACCTGTTTCACTGAACTCCAGGGGAATTTTTAACAGGTACTTTTGCACACATAGATATTGATGTAGACAGCTCTGTGTGTGCATGTGGAGTGACCAGGCTATGAATGTTGCTATCTCGAATCTGTAATTCAGTCATTGTTGTAATTGCAGTAAACCCTATCAAGTCACCTTGTAAATGATAAATTAGTCAGTGATTAAATACTCTTAAACCCTTTGCACCCTCCCCTCTGCACCCCTGGATTCCGTGTATGCCATTCTAAAGAGGTTCTAATTTGATTTTCCTTTGCATGAGTCATCCGTGCAGCGAGCAACAGACAGAACCTTGACGTTGAACTCTGTTAACCTGCAATTCCGCAAATTCATATTAAAACCTGCTTTTGCCAACACCTTTTATGGTGATTCTTTCAGTGACCAAAACCCCTCATTCACACCCCCTGTCAGCAAGAGCTGGAGCCAGGTAAACTCCAAGAAGAGAAGCAATCACAATCTGAAATGAACATTTGAAATTCACAACATTTTAACATTGTGCTGCTCATCTTGCCTTAAGTTATTTGCTGTCCTAAAATAATTTTGACTTCCTGTTCAATGTTGTGTACAGGATCAGCACTTTCTGCAGTGGAGTCTGACTGAAGAGGATTTAAATATGGAGGAGAGTTTTTTGTTATAATGATAAATTCTTTTGTGATAACTATTGTGAACAATTATTCTCTTGGAGACAATCCCCTGAATATTGAATTGCTCCCAAATTTCATCTCCTTCACAGGAAGATTTTGATGAAAAAGATCTGAGTGGATGTGGAGTCTCTCATGCCTCATGGTTCTCCTACGCTCTCGGCACAGCTGTGCCCTCACTTATGGACCTTGCTGAGACTGATGACTTGCCTCTGAGTTGTGAAGGAGAGAATATTGTCCTTTGGACGTTCCACGTGCGTGTGGCACCCCAAGACAGAGCACTTCTCTCTTTCATGTTTGAGTGGGCACATGGAGTTACATCCCTGCCAGAAGGGACATTTCACCCATGCAGTCCCCACCCCTCTGGCATTTTCTCTCTGTGATCCTGCAGAAATCACTAAGAGGTCACTTGGTGACAAGAAAGACTCAAAACCATTTAATCTGTCCAGCCTTAAGAGTTTTATGAGAAAGTGATTTGTCTACTTACAGTGAACTTCATTTTGATGGTAGGCCAGGCAA